TGGTAAGGCATAAAAGGGTAGCTACTGAATAGAAAGAAACTATGAGAATATATTTCTATTGCATTTAGTTAAGTGAACTAGCTATTACACAACAAACAACATTATTTGAGATTATGAACTAAGGCCAGTGGATAAGAAATTTAACATTAGCAAATTTTTCTTTTACCTGTAAGGATACCTGTGCTTTATTATTCTAAACACAGTTTTTAGTAATCCGATTGTGGGCTAAAAGTGGCTAATAAGATCTCAGTGGACTTATTACCGACTGACTGAGTTTCAGTATCGAACTTTGCACAGAAGTGTATCAGTCCGAGCTGCCACACTTCATGAAGCACACTGGTAGAGAAAAGACAGTAAAAAGAACTATAATAAGCGTGGTAGAAAGAATAGTAATATGGAAAAACATTAGAGTTCAGTGGCTAGGGGAGATTACAAAAATGAACACATCTTCACCATTGAGAACTATTTTGAGTCATATCACCAGTACTCTCCAGCCATTGATTCTTAGCATCCAGACTACCGCAACCACACAGTCTACACCTCCTTACATGGCAGGCTCAAACCAACTGTGAAGGACTTCATGGACTGATGACAAGTTTTGGTTTGACCAACTCCAACTGTTTTCAAATCCGAACGTATGTCAGCTAATATTACTCTTCGAGGAAGGCGGTGGTTCGTCAAAAGCAGCATGTGTTGAAGCCATCTCAATGAACATATTCAATTGTTGGTTTGCAGGGATTTGATTGGTACAGAAAGTCGGGTGTGAGGACGAATACGCGCTAATGACATTCATTCGCTAGTGGTCGCGTCATATCGTGAATTTGCAGAAGTTGGAATTCATGAATTGGGTCTTAGTGGTCTAAATGGTCTACAAGCTCGCCTTGTAACCGGAAAATCCTGTGTTCGAGCTCCAGGGAGTGCTTACTGATAAAAAGTCCCAAACAATGGTGCTCTAATCGATGTCAGTTCATGATGAAATCAATGTGTATCGCTTTATAACCTCATTGATTCACTTCCCTTCCTCACATAACACTCTACGCCTAACCTCACGACATTATACTGTAACAACAGAAGGCAAGAGTCAGGCAACAGATTGTTTACTGTGGAAACCAACACATATTTATAGATTTTCGTGTACGTTATTATAGATTATTGTTAGCAGACAAACACAGTCTTCTGATTGGTTGTTTCTCGCTGAAAGTTAATCTTTCATCTCTTTGTGGCTGTTTCTTGAATGTAAGATCATCTATCTGTTAATTGTATCCGCCTACGCACAGTCTCCTATCAGTCTTTGTTCTTGTTTTCACATGACTAATATTTGAGAAATAAACATTTACGTAAATTACTGTTTACCAATCTGGCTAACAGCCAGCTCTCACCAGAATACCACTTAAAACAAGAGACAGAACGCAACTATCTATGGTGAAACATAGCTAGTCTTTTTATACCTTCTGCGTTCAGCGGTCATATTTCACAGGCATAAAGTAGAACTGGGCAGACCACTGCGCAGTGCACACGTCTTTTGATTAACAGTTGGATAACACATCTACGACAGAGATGATATGAGTCGGTAAATGCTATACTAGCCTTTTGTATCCGTCTCTTCATGGACAAACATCTGTCTCTAATAAGATATGTAGAAATCCAGCTATCTCCTCATGACTTGTGGTACACTAAACGTAGTATTTTTTACAAGTATACACCAACCTTAAATCAGAAGGCACAAGTAAAGGCCTGGTACTGTGCACTAGTAGCAAAGTTTAATTTAAAAGTGTACAAACAAACTGGCGGTTGAAAAGACACTTGAAAAGTATCCAATTACTGACTGTCAAACAATAGAATAGTAAATATTCAGTAAAGATATACAAAATTGATTTCAACAAAAAATCTCACATTCGATACGTGAATTATTTATAGAAAAGTTCTGTCGTAATCAAGTACATTGTTCTATAGACTATAAAAAAATGCATATCATAATTGATGGATAAATATGCATATGTTCACTTTTTACAGTAACATTAACTGATGACGTTTCGAGCACAAATTATTGCTCATAATGATTATGAGCACTGTGAACACTGTGTGTTTTATCAAAATAAAATCTTATCCAGTCCACTACAATTAAGAATGTCATCGGTGATAATAGGCAGGTGGCCTTGTCCTCCTCCTGTATTCACTCCAAAACCTTCGCCATGTCTTTCGTTGTAGATCACCTGATACGTGACATTGTCATATAACCAGCTATTGAACGAGGTTGTTAAAGACTTGAGCACTGCACGCTGAAGTGTTGAAGTAGTTTTCAAATTACTTCTGGTCAACGCTGTCGAAGGCCTTCACGAAGTCGATGAAGTTGAGGCAGATAATCGACTGCCATTCTATGCTTTGTTCGATGAAGATGCGTAGAGTTGCAATTTGATCGGCACATGATTTGCTTTCCCTGAATCCACCGTGTTCCGGCGGGCGGAGTTCTGCATCCAGGGCATCTTTTATTCTCTCCAAGAGGATGCAGATTAATATTTCAGCCTGGCATGATCAAAAACATGATTACGCACCTGTTCTTGCAGAGGCCTATGTTGCTCTTTTTTATGGATTGAAAAGGTAGTCTTTCCTCCAATCAGTAAATACCTTTCTTTCCTTCCAAATGTTTTGCAATAATGGCGTGACCATATGCGCAAAAGTCTCAGTACCTCCGGAGGAATTCCGTCTGGTTTTGTTGCTTTCCCAGTCTTCAGTAGTGTCGTCATTGGAACAGTCAATATGTAAATTTTAGTTACTAATTTTTTTAAAACAGTCAGAAACAACTTTACTGTTTTTTATATTACAATTTGTCGCACTGTCACTTCCTTCCATTAATGTATGCATTAAATTATAGTAACATAGTTAAATTGCATTTTAATGCATACTTCAAACGACTGGTAGCTGCTGATATGTAAATCACTTGTGTAAATAATCATGATATAAAAAGTGGTGAGGTTCCTATATACATGAAAATTAATAGATATAAGTCCAAAGTTTGATATTTAGTCGTTGACTTCTTATCAGCAGTCTCGATGAGACTTTTAGCACTAACTTCATTAGGACGATAGCTAAAAATTAATCTTCCAAACTCTATTTCTACAGTTGATGTATAGTCTTGTTCTAAAAATCAAAGATATATTAAATACTGACTATCCAGTTGCAGTACTGATTTGTATTGTTATTCATCCGACATGAACAACAAAATCAGTCCAATTTAGTCAGTGAAAATGAGTATAAGTAAAAGGTGTAACAAATACACGAAGGTATGTACCTATCTTGATGAATTTATTTCATGAATAATCCCTATCCAGGCAGTTCAGTTCAGTAAACAGTCTCTTATCGGCGAATTCATTTTCTTACCTGGACAATCGCAAATATATATATGCGTTATTTTGTATGCATGTGTACATTAAGTTTGTCAAACAAAAATACAATTGGTCATGGCTATTTTAACTTAAGGCGAGCGGGCATTAATTAGTAAGTTTTCGGTGGAGTTACGTAACACAAAATTGGTCAAGAAAATTAGGTGTTCATGCAACTAATGTAGTAACAAGGGTGGTGAGTTGTCACAAACACATGTTAAAAAGCAGTTACGTAATAATATGAATAGTTTGATGATTGAATTGTACTCAGGATACACACAGAAACAAAGTAGAGAATACGAAATTACGTAGGAGTTCTAAACGTATATAGGAATTATAAACAGTTAAAGAAACAAAATTATGTCATCAAAAATCAACAAAGTTGTTACCATGATAGTAGAAGTGGTTGAGTAATTCTCTTTTGTATGCACAGCTCTAGTTTCTCTATGTGAATGGCTAGATCTTCAACGAAAGAAAGAAAACGAAACCGTATTGCCTTTGGTAGGTTATTCTTGACTCTGTAGATTACTTCGAAGCAGGAGGTGTTTGTTGAGATGGAATGATCAGTGTTAACCAGGTGTTCAATTATCGCACTCCTTATAGTACCTCATGGTTGCCTTTTCGCAGCCATGCTGGATAGCGTTGTTGAATCCTCCTGGACAGGATGCGTGTCGAACGACCGATGTACCTGACTCAACAGCAGTAGGCATTGGATTAGAAGTTGAAGCTAGGTTTCCTGATATTGTGTTTGGATGATTGTAGTCAGGAATAAGCTTTTCTGTATGACGTACGAAAGCAGAGATGTACTGTACATGTCATGACATTGCGAAATGGTGGCGCTATTTCGTGAATTGGCAGAAGTTAGAAGTCAATGACCATTGGATCGGGTCCCAGTGGCTCAATGGTCTATGAGCTCGCCTTGTAACCAGAAGGACCTGGGTTCGAGCCCTGGCGGTGGGTGCGTACTGATGAAGAGTCCCAAACTAGGACGAAACAGCTATCCAGTACACCCAGGTTTTCCAATGGTTCTCTAACTGATGTCAGCTCATGGTGAAATCCTCCATGCAATCAAATATAAACCAGTTTAAATTACAACGAATCTTCATTAGTCCTAAGGTTTAATTTCATTGGGGCAGTGTAGACTCAAGCTGACCAGTTAAATTATGCAAATTAGAAACAGTGAACTAGCATTGAGTTCTAACTAATCGGATCTACAAAGTACCCATATGTTTTGATGTCCTCAATAAACGTGGATACCATACACATTTCTTTACACTTTAAAGCGCTTAGCCGAAGCATTCACGTGTAAATTGCTAATTATCTCAAACAGAATGAAACGTCTGTCCTACTTGTGACCACAATCATAGGGAAATTTAAGTTAACATCGAATCATCTCTATGGAATAGGTGAATATGCTGATAGAAAGAAAAGTCTGTCAACAACAAAAAAGAATGTGGTAGTATGAAAACTTCGAAATTTCAAGCAATTTTAATTTATCTCTGACATACAATAACTGATCATTAAATCTTTTAGGTGTCTTCTTTCACTGTCGCTGCTTACTAACAAATAAATAAAAAATTCAACAAGTATGAAAATATGAAGGAATTTATTTCGTGATTTCCGTTTAAAGAAAAAAATAATAATCTATGAACAGAATATGGATGACAAAAATCACAGGTCAATTCTACAAGTATCAATTATCAAATCAATGCGCAATCAATTATATCGAAGATCTAAGAGCGTCCCAAGGTGATTTCAATCTCTTCAAGAGACTGATTACCATGTTCCGGTACAAATCTCCAGACAAATATAATTGCCAGCACAGAGACACCAGCATACAAGAAGTAAGCGCCTAAAATCGATTGAACATACATAATAATAATAATAATGTATAACCAATGTTTTTGGAGTAACCTACTCAACACACAAAAACCTGATTTTGTTATAACTAGATGGAGTACTTTTTAAAAAAAGTTGAAAATAATTTTACTATGTTTTGTAATAATATGAGAACAAGGATCCTAGATCTGCATCAGTGTTTGAAACATTTTTGCTACAGCTTATATAACCTTCACTGTTTGCTATCCCTGCAGCTGGATGAAAGAAAGAAGAGGGACAATCAGAATGTGGCGTGGTGTTGGGTTAGCCTCTGCTGGCGCACCACAATTCCTTGGAGTAGGGGATTCCAGAGGTCATGCAACTCCATAGTTTGCGACACTTTCAGGTGTGGCACAGAATACAGTCAACAGCGAGTATGTCGCAATTTTATTTATTTATTTAATTTCTGTGAGTATTAAGAAGTGACGAATGTTCTTTTCAGTGTACATCGTAAGTATGCTTATCTATTCCTTCTTTAGTAAAAATCCTCCATATGGTTGCAGATGTGGCTTTCTTATATGCTGAATGCCTATAAATGTTTTGTTATTTTACGGTCAGTAGTTTCGCTTCTATTTTTCTATTATTGTGAGCGTTTCGAATCTTCCCGATGCATTTTATGGGATGGTTATTTAGCACCAATGCTTCTTTTATCTCTTTCGTTTCATTACTTAGGTTTCCTAATGCACTGCTGAGAGTTTTTGATCGGTTTGTTAGACACTTGACTAAACCTACCTTTGTGGATAATCGGATGAGATGACTTAAAATCTAAATATCGATTACAGTGAGTTAGGTTTTTATAAATGCTAGTGCATAATTTAACTTCTCCTGTTTTTTTTTATTATTTTACAATCTAACACAACTAATGTTTGGTTCAGGAATCAAACAATGAGAATAAGTTTTATTCCCACTACTAGTGAGTTTATATGTGTGAACAAACTAGAGATATGACTTGTTCTTAATACTGTGAGTGTCATCCATATGTCTCTACCATACCTTTGCTACAAACCTAACCAGAAACAAGCTCTGTAGGTTAAAGGACTCTATTGACCCACTTAGACAGATAATGCAATCTACAAAATATTATGCAATGATTGTGAGGTCAACTAAGTAGGTGAGAGCAGTAAATTGGGGTCAGTCACATTATAAGAACATAAAAGTTTAGCCACGTGCAGAATTATTGACCCTTATAAGATGAACAGCTTAGTGAACTTGGTTAGAATCCGAAATCTACTCTAGTTGAAATCATGCAACCGATTCGTATAAATATTAATCTTTCTACAGAAAGGATAAGTACCTTGTCGAGTGATCGAACTAGTGAGAGAAAGGAATGTAAAACTGACGATCAAATTAGCGATCCAATTGAATGCTGTTGCAGTAGCCACACCTGTGCTACGAGCCCAAGACGGGTAAATCTCAGCGTTTATAGTCCACGGTAATGGTGACATGCCAGGAGCAAATGAAGCGAGATACAGTATTAGGCCGAAGAGTGTCATCCAACCGTATGGATTAGGACAGTGATCGAATGCCCAATTAACATGTTCTTTTTCCATAGACTACAGAGAGTTGATAAAAATAAAGGAAAATAAATCTCAGTATATTGTTACTGCTATACTGAAAGTTAAGTTAATACACAATGAAGGTTCTTGCTAAACTTACTACTATTTATTGAAACACAAACTTGATATATTATGGGCACCAAGGGATGCGCAACACAAAAACTCTGTTTGTGCGTGGGCTTGGATAAGAGTCTAACCCAGGGCTTTTGTTCTGATCCACAAGGTAATGGAGCTACATTCCCGTGAGTTCTAATGATCAAGACAGGTCCGTACGCCATTCAATCCAATTGGGTTTTGGAGCCTATGTACACCACAGATTTGGAATCAGGTTTTCCAGCTTGCGACCCCACCCGTTCGGTTGTAGGTGTCACAATTTCGTATTCACACTTTCACTTCTTTGAGGAACACTCCAGGCGCGTGAGTGCAGTGAATCGGATTTACTTTGCAGAGGGATGCTATGAACACACGGCTACATGAGAGCATTCAAAGAGGAGGATCAAAGTCTACCCACCCTCGGTCGTACCAAGTTACTTATGGGGCTTTTATTAAACGTGTGTGTACATGTACACTGTTCTATAGTTTTAGATTATATTAAGGTTTCATAAGTAGAGAATATTCGTTAATATTCAGTTTCTTTAATCACTGGATTTGGACGTTCATGGTATGAAAGGTAATCAGTGCAGTTATTCATCACGAAGGAGTTAACTGTATGTGTTATGTAGGGATATTTACTTTGCCTATAGCTATATGTGGATTGTCACTGTTGGTTATTTTATTAAGTGTACTGATATGCCAGGGATACCCTAAGGTATGATATGAAAGATAAGGACATTATAGTTGTTGAGAATAAATTTCATGTGACAGGCTCCATATTATGGTTCGCAAGTATACAATAAATCCGTCTGTGGTAGAAATAACCATGTGTGAATTTATCGAAGTAAATACTAATTGAAAATGTACTCCAACGAGAATTTAACCATTCTGCTGCAGAGGAACATAAAAAGTATAGTCTAGTGCTTCAAGACCTCGTCTGCGCATCAAGTAGAAAGTACAAATAAGAAGAAATAAGAAAAATAGCCAACAGTCTTGAAGTGATGCAAGAAAAGATAAGATGATGTAAGTAACATAAAAATGTTACAATCAAGAGGAATTAAAAGTATGATTGTATCTACTCCAATAATGCAATAAGTTCTGAGCTATACTGCCTGTAGTTTACAACCATATATTCTGACAGTCGCAGTGAACTCCGATGGATGGTGACTTCACAGTCTGCCTCCTCTTTGATCTCTCTTTACATATCGTGTAAAAGTAATCATATCCAAGATAGAAAAGGCAGAAGATATTTATACTTCTAACAAAGGACTTACTAATTTTACTCAGAACTCTAGAACACACTTTTTCGTCGCTCAAATGCTGATTCCCGCGAACATGTGCAATAATGCAAGGAAAGTGACTATTTGACACCTGAAGACAACGTTAGTCTTCTCGACTAGCGGTGGTATTTCGAAACTACACAATAGAAAGAGCGCACTGCTGAGGGGTACGATGCTTGCAAATGAGCTATAAACAAACTTCCGTATACGTGCCAAGACTTTCTTGACCCTCAGATCACCAGAGTTGATGTGGCTTTGCAGGTAACTGAAATGCTTGACATATTGAGACACTACAATTCATAGTCGCATTTATGCAAGCCAGTCCTGATATTGCAGTTTATATTTGGTGGTTTTGAGATACATACTAAATTTGTTTAGAATGTTTCGGAGGGTTTTCCCAACATGGGTATGTAGTCCACATACTCTAAGCTAACGAACGTTCCTCATATGAATAAATCGAATCTTGGGAAGACAAACGTGGGAGCGTAGAACTTCATATGCATATCTATTCTAAAGTTAAATAGAGATCGATTGACCGAACACTTTTAACCAACATCATTCGATGTAGACACTTCAGAGGAAAGCTCATCATACGAACAAAAAGAAAACCATGCATTTTCCAATTTAGTGTCTTCGGTGAAAACAGGAGCATATCAGATTTCTTTTTGCAATCAAAAACACTGAAATAAAGAAATACAGTAGAACATATTCACTGCTATGTCAACAGCCAGCCTGAATCCCTCTAGAATTTTGTTCTCTAATGGTGGTTAGATTCTACATCACTGTGTATAGTAAGGTCATAAATCCGTGCTCTTAAGGTTTTAGGTTGTAACAAGAGAATTTCTCTTCTTTCTTGAAGACCAGGTCAATAATTGCTTGAACAGGCAAGAGATAGTCATCTCTGACTCGCATATACGAAGTTAAACATCTGTCATTTCACTCAGAAACTGTAAGAGTAAAATGTTAAAATAATTCTGAGGATAGTGCGTGAAACCATGCTGCTGACCTTCTCTGAAGTCGCTTACAACAACTTAAATTTTTGAAGAAGTTTGGGGTCCTACGTCGGCCAAATCTTCAGGTTGCTGCGACTAGGTAGTGTACACATAAAGGGTGGATGTAAGCCGACTAGACCGTTTCATATAGCATTCCTTCCAGTCGCTTATCTTGAGAATGAATCAAGAATGATTATCGTAATCATTAAGCTGAGTTCAGAAAAATACTTGTTTTATTTTGCTGTATGAGTCTGAAACGTTATCATATTTTGCAGGAAAGGAGGCTGAAGTTCATGTACATTTTCAGCACATGAAGAAAATTTAAATCCTAATCGGTTTACAGCTTGAAATTAATGCGCAGATTTGTGCACAGATAGTTGACCCTTTATGATAGCCAGCACTATGGATTATTGTGTTAAATTTTACCTGAAATGTGGTTTACCCCTGAGTTGAAAGGTTAATAAGCTTTTCTGTCATACGAGATCTGATATGTGAATACGTAATGCTTACAAAACTAACCATGGAATTTATCAATAACATAATGTTGACAAAATTTCACTTTACTTACCTTCTCAGAACATCGGCCATAAGTAGAAAATGGGGAAAATTCTTTAGGTGATGGAAGACAAGAACCATTCACTGGAACTTTTGTCTGACCGGATAAATACGTTTCATAACAAAATCCGCAGCTTTTCTGTTGAATACACATATCACATGTCTTTCTACAGAGAAAGTTACAAGCAAGAGAAGTATGAGAAAACAATAATTTGAATAGTGACTCTTATTGATTAACAAATCTATCAGAAATATAGAATACGTTTATATGTGACCGACAGCGGTTGTTGAGAGTAGCATAGACAATTTTTGTCCTCCTTTTTGATTGTGACAGATGATCATAGAAAGTAGAAGATTTGAAAAGTTCAATTGTCTTTACCACAGATATAATATGATATGGTGAGCAATACTGAGGTTAAGAGTACAATATTAGGTGATGAGGGTGAAACTACATAAACTGAGATGGCAAGAGCACGTGTTGCACATACCGAGCAGTCGCCATCCTCAACAGGAGAGGTTGGCTGACATCCAGTCAGACTCGAAGAGAGTTTGGGGTAGTCAAAATAAAACCTGGCATAAAATCATGAAGCCTTTGACTGTTGCTTTGAGCCATACATGGAGGTATAGGCTACCTGGTTGGGGTCTTCAGGATGTTAGGAACTAATAGCTGGAGAATATTGACTCAAAACTTTTCTCAATGGTATATATCTCCCATATCCACTGAACCCTAATGTTTTTTCATGCTACTATCCTTTCTCCCTAATATTTTCGCTAATTGTAGTACTTTTTAATCTCCTTCTTACTCTGTAGTCGACTTCTTAAGTGAGCGCGATAGACCTTCTTCGAAGCTGAACTACGACTAACCTTCTCCACAAAACCTATGATTCATGTGAACGTGAAGGATAAGCTACCGCTGCTGGCCTCATCAATGTATATTTATCAATTCACCTGCTCGTGTGGAGCCAGGTATGTCGGCCATACCCAGCGCTCGCTTTCCAAACGTATCACCGAACACTTACCAACATAGTTTTACAAAGGGGAAAAACGATGCCCCCGCAGCTCCACCTCAGAACATCTGATAGAATCCGGACACCAAGCTACACCGCAAACAAACTTCAAAGTTGTCTACAGAGTAAGAAGTAGTCTTCCTAGAGGTGTACGAATCAGATTTCTTCAAACTGCAGAAGCAATAGCGATTCACTTGCTAAGTCCTGAACTCTGCATACAGAAGAAGTTCGTTCAATCACTACACTTGCAATGGACGTAATCTATCTTATTAGCCGACAAATAAATTCTACCTAATCTTTTCTTCTGTCTCTTCATTAGTATTATTTTGCCTTCTCAATTGTAATATTTTACATTTTCAACTTTCTTGTTCTCTACCCCTACCCGATTCAATTTCTACACCTCACTACCACTGTTACTGACTTGAACAGCGCTCAATTCTTAGTCATTTATGTTACGTCATCCAACTTATTTGCTCAATTTCACTTCTACTTAGTCTATACCTGTAATTACTTCTGTTGCTACCCTGATCTAAGTTGAAACATTTTAGTCAATTATATTACGTCATCTAGCTTACTAACTCAATCTTACCTTAGTTGCTGTCTGATTAACTTTGGTTCTATATTACATCATTCTTGTATTAACTAATCAATTATCTAAACTTGACAAACCTCATGTACACACACGCACACAAACATAAATAATTATATATAAATGCGATTGTACAGCTATGTGAATGAATTCGCTGAAAAGAGTCTCTTCGCTGAACGTCTTCTCTTTTTAATATGACTCCATGGGGATTTTCAAAAATTTACTATGAAATCGAAAATTCGCCATAATATGAACATTCTCCTTATATTATCGAACTTAACACCGTAGAAGAAATAATCTATCAAGAAAAGTCGTTCATATATGATGAAACCACTGAAATGAATGTGATTACAAACTTCAGAAATCGATACGTAAACTTTGTTACACTGTTTTATATCCTTTCTGCACACGACTAACCTATTATGACGCTGACGCTTTCGGGGACTCATTTAACTTACAGTGATGACACATTGTTGAATATATTTCGACAAAATAATATGCACTCAGGTTAGTGCACAGAATCACAAACTACTGAACAGCGATTCACAAAGTCAAAACCATTAACGAAAAACGACAACTTTCAGGGACATTTCCGAATAAAAAGAATAGGGAATTCACAGCTCCTGTTCAGTGGGAAATATAATGAGAACATCACTAAACATACAAATATATTTAGAATTCTAACTCGAATGATGCAAATGTTCGAATCTGTTCTGAACATTCAACAGAATGAACATTTACACTGCGACATATTTTCAACATAATTCAGTACAATTATAAATAAAATAATATCACTTACGCATTTAGACACGAAGCATAGATGTTCTCCAAAGGAATTGTTTCGATAACCGATACATGCGCAGAATAAGATGCAATTAACTGGAAACTAACAGCCAAAATAATCAGGCTTATAAACACACCTGTTAAACTACAATAGAATACAAGACGTCTTTTAAAACGACCAACAATCCATGGAGCTCCCAAACTAAACAGAAAGTTAGTAGATGCAACTAGGGCAGTTAGCCAGGCAATTTTCATGTTTCCTTCCTTCTTACTACTGCCAGTCCCACCGATACCAGCCATAGACAAGATTTCAGCACTATAGTACATCACAGTATTGATTCCAACGAATTGCTGGAACATTTGCAAACTGCAACCAATAAATAAGGCGCGTCTAGTTGGTTTGAAACGCAACATACGAACTAGCGTTAACTGTGACCAGAATCTATTTGGCTCTATATATAAGTATCGATAAGAACAACAGGTAAAAAGTTCAAAGAAATTAAACACAACAAAATTTAAATGTCTGAAGGCAAATTATGCTGATAAAAACGAGACAGCATATGCTTACTTCTACGGTCATTAAAATATCAGTCTTACCATCAAAATTTGAGCTTACAACAACTTAGTGCCTACAATTCTGATCTGCACCTGTAAAACTCAGCCTGAGACTAAAATATTTTGCCAGTTCCCAAGTTTGATCAGCACTTTCTGTATAGAGCTTTTATTTTGTAATAACACGCTGAGGTCGATCAGCGCTTGGAATAAGTGTGAATTCAGTAGATACGGCTCAGTTAGACTATCGGAACATAGGGATTTAGCTAGTCCTAGAAGTGCTGACCCTATTAAGTTGAATACCCCGGAAAAAGAAGCTTAGCAGTTGCAAGGCATTCACTTGCACGTGGTTACACCACACGACAGTGTGGAGTAAGAGCATCACAAAGTAATATAGTTAGATGAAGAGAGAGGTTAACTACGACAAAATCTTTGTTCATCGAAGAATCAACGCCAGACACATGAAGTAAAAATGACGCAATTCCAATAGTGGATACATAGAAAGTGCAGACGGATATATCGGTATTTAAAACTTCATTCTATTAGTCTAATCGACAATTTGCGCTCACGTGTTCACACAATGAAACATATACCAATAGAAAACGACGATTACTTGATGGTTTTCCAAGTAGTAAGAGAAAAGAACTTGAAGATTACGCCACTACTGTCACAGAAAGATGTGTACAGAAGTCTAAACAAAATGTTTTACTCACTGAATCCCAAAGAATTTATTTTCAATTCCCCAAATGTGAAGCTCATTAAACCAAATTCAAGCCCTACTACATGGTACCAAAGTTTATCGTCAGGCTCTCAATAACTTATATCTTCACCATGAAGTTGAATTTGAGATTATGGTTAATCAAACAAAAGACTTAGTTCCGGTTTTTAACGAAGAACTACAATGCTTCAGGTCGGCTGTACTTAACTGCTATCAGAAGCTCAAGAACTCAAAAGAGAAACACCACCAAACACACAATATACCATGGGACTAAAAAAATTGTCCAGTAATATAGATATAATTGTTATACGCCCAGAGAAAGAAAAGTGAACCATTAAATTACACAGATCAAACTATATACAAAAAATCTCATAAATTCTCAATAATGACACCAAATGCTCAAGCTAGACAACACTGTGCATAGCAAAAACTATTTAACAAAATTGTCTGTAACAATGAAACAGGACTCAGCAGTCATCAGTGCACAGACCTATGGAAGGATTCAACCTACTGATCCAACAATTTTATGCCTACGTCAAAGACCCACAAGGAAGGGTTACTCATATGCCCAATTCTGGACATGTCTAGATCATCCTACCATTCCGTACCATGATAGCTAACAGGAACTTTAGAACTTATGAGGAAGGTAGTAGTGAAGTGTCCTTAAAAGCCACGTTTGAATTCATGGATTCGATAGGAGAATGAGTTTTTCTTGATCAACTATGGCTCTAATAGACACAGTTTCTCTTTTTACCAATGTTCCCTTAACAAAAACTGTGTGCTACCTATGTGAGTTTATTGACTCAAATAACTAGAATGTTGATGTACCTACTAAGTATTTTAAAGAGCTAATACTACGTCGCACATCAAATGTTCAGTTTTTATTTACCGGTCAAAAATACCGACAGAAATATGGATTATCAATGGGTTCTTCACTTGGTCCATTAATCGCCGACTGCTTCATGACATATCTGAAATCAAATCGCCTCCAATCGACCATCAATGTTTACAAGCGATACATAAACGATATCTTTACCGTCATGGGTAAAAATGCTGAGCCAAGTAAAATCCTAGAACTATTTAACAATGTCCACCGATCAGTCAACGTTAAAATTGAAGTTGACTCGGAAGATAAATTATCCTACCTAGATTTCTTGATTTCGAGACGAACAGATGGATTTCTACAAAGATCAATTTACCACAGGCCAAAATGAAATGGATAGCTGACAGAATTACTTTTATTTTTATCCCAATGGGTAGAAAAAGAAATCTCGTTGCCTCTTTTACCACGGGAATCTATTACGTTTTCATCAAAGATACGTTAAGCAAGGAATTGGACTTCTTCAGAAACAATCTAATCAAAAGTGGATATCAAATCTCCTTCATCGACAAACATTTGAGAGAAAGACCAATGCTGTCCGAAACTTGGATGTGCCAAATAAGTGACTAATTATAGGTAGCAAGTTCAAAACAGTGCAATTAGTGACATCTATCGAAAAGTTTGTCGAGAGCGATTCAAAGAACGCTCTTTGAATTTGACCCACATTGTTAAGTTTGGCAATGTCAAACGAAACCCTTCTTGGTTTTGATGGATATCACGACTGCTTGTGAAAGCAGCTATTTAGCGTCCAGTTCTTTTAGTGATGATAAGCAATTTTTATAATAAAGGGAAAGAGATGCTAAATATAACATATCAACTATTAAACAGCATAATTTATAGGTGATCAGAAAAATAATGACAAACACAACAGATGAACACATAATTTGAGGTATGAGAGATTTGGGAGTTTGCAATTCTATGTCTAAACTGTCAAAATTTTAGTTTGACTGTAATATAATATATGTAGAGGTGAAGATACTGCAAATATACTGAGAGGAAAATATGCGTCTGCTTAAAACAACTATCCTTGTAGCTTTTTATTGAAAGTCCAATTCACAAAACAGGAGTGAGAATTCAGTAGATGGATTCTCCTCGTGCCCCTCGTCAAAAAAGATCCCATCATGAGCTGACATCAGTTAGAGAATCATTAGAGAACTACCTGGGAGTACTGGACAGCCGTTTCGTCAGGCGAGACTGGAACTCTTCACCAGTACGCACCCACCGGAGTTCGAACCCAGGACCTCCAACCAATCAGACGAAATCCCTTCAAAACCAATACTTGAAAGAAGATCCCCACTCAGTCGATCATATCCCATCCTACTGTATACACGCACGAATGTTTTAGAATAGGGCTTCTATCACGTTTTAGGAGAACTTTTCATGTCAGCCACTCTGATAACAGTCAGCACAAAATGAGCTGGCGGTTCACCTCGAAATCTCATTTCCGAGCTCGATCACTTCAGACGCTGTGGATGGAAAATAATGAAAAAGTAGCAAACTAGGACAAGAAAAAAATGTTCGGTAAAATCTCGGGCTGCACAGTTGCTTTATTCGATCACGTGAGAACCGGCAACAGCTCAACTGATCCACATGAATGTTGATTTTGAAAATATATATAAACCATAAGAAATTTAAAACCAATACTCTTTGTTACCTGTCCCTTTTATTATATGGTCATCAGATTTGTTCAGTACATTTTGTGATAGTGTATTTTCACTGACAGATGAATTACCCCCACTAAAACTCCCCATACAGACGTTAGGATCAATATCAGGGGATGTTTGAGGGGTTTCACACACTTGAACGTTGGATGAAGCTTCGATCATTCGTTGAATTTCACCTTCTATTTGTGGTGTCGCAGCAGATGCTCCGTAGATACGCTGGAGAGTGGCACGAGCTTTTGAAATTTGACCACGCTGGACCAACCAGCGAGGGCTCTCAGGCATAAAAATAAATGCAAATAGTTGAATAAATGACGGAACGCCTCCAATCCCTAACATATACCTTTGTAAATAGAAATAACCAAAATTTCATTATAAAATTCAAAGTCTAATTAGTTATTCAAACAATTGGTTAGTTGAAGCATTACTAAATGGTGGGAAATTTGTATGGGTGAACAGAAATGAACACCTGATAAAAGTGAATACTTATCTATCTATTCAGGAAACATTTATCCCAGTAGGATTTTTTTACTTATTTATTTTTCATTACAGCTTGATTCCACACTGTATTTCTTGGTACAGGTATAGATTTTTCAGCATGCGATATCGGTAGCCCAAATTTTGCAGGCCGACCATAGATATCAGGTGTGTGTCGCCAGGGGATCGAGCAACTGTAGCAGACTGTGTAAGAAATAAATAAGAAGTTGATCAATATTCAAAATAATATTCCACGATGAAACTTTCGAACTTTCATCCCTTAGGTATCTCAACAATCTAATCCATGTTTGAGGAAATATCATGGGTACATCATATGGAGATTATATAACTTTATGACCTAATTGAAATAACCTACCTCCACCCATTGACTTCATCCGAAATAAAGATAGCATCAACAATTGCTGCGATTACTTGTCCAGCTGTAATAAACACTGTGTTCAGCGTTACCAATGCTCCGCGCATATGGTTAGGCGCTATTTCTGCAATATATACAGGGACTGACATTGACGCCATTCCTAAAAACAAAAATATTATTCATCTGATCTTAAGATATGCTCACCAATTCCCAGTCCAACTATCAAACGACCAACTAGCAAACAAATCTTACTATATGAGGCTCCCATCACTACTGCTCCAACAGTAAATACGACACTTGCTATTAATATAACAGCTTTGCGACCAATACGATCGCTGAGAAAAGCACTAACTGGACATGCTATCGCAGCAGCAAATAATGATATACTGACCTACAACTTATAATAAATATACAGTGTAATAGTACAAACAATTATTTCTTGGTACTGATACGATAGGTTGAAATATTCTCTCAGTTGAATCATGGCACCGGATATGACACCAGTATCATAACCAAAAAGAAAGCCACCGAGGGCGGATACAATAGTAATAACCACCGGGAAAGCCCATGCATGGTTTGAGGACCTGAAATATGAAACTGCTTATATATCTTACTTGGGAATTAAATCTCCTTGACTATCACTTGGTTGCATTTTCAACTGATGAAGTTACATCCGTAGCTAGGTAGCAAATATTAAGTGAAGAAAACTCATTTTTACATTTCATTCGAGATAACGAGAAAAACAATATTGTAAAGGAATTTTTAAGAAAAATTTTCTCTGATACATGCGAGGAAAATAGGTATGAAAAATCTAATCTAAAATAATATTGCATCATTCAGGAGAATAAAAAGTAACACAATTCGTCGCAAGACTAACACATGGGCATCAGGGCCCACACACACGTGTGTTAAGCAGTTAATAATGAGCAAGAGTTAGTGACAATATTTGCCTGTCAAAAATTAGCAGTACAAGACGGTACTCAAACACGAGGAACACTAATTGACATGCAGGTACCTAAACAATGCACCACAAAGTGGCAGAGTAGTATGCGACAGAACTGTGTTTCAAGGGTAAGACTGGAACGAACAAATAACCGAAAACAAAAACGAACGAATATCCTCATATAACCGTGCCAGTGGTCGACGAGGAAGGCTTCGGCTGGGCGTGTGTGACACGTATCTCAATCGCCTCAATCGATGTATCTCCAAGCCTCATAGATCTCTAATCTCATATTACACCACTCAACACGGGAGATAGATGGGAAAATTTTCTGATTAAAGACAGCTAGCCTTTGCATATCTTTGACTTTCAGTGACCATGTTTCACAGCCTTAAAAATGATAGGGGAACTGCCGTACACTACACGTGTACTTTCATCGATTATCGGATTTGACGTCTACGCCAGAAATGACATAGGTAGGCAAATGCCACATGAGCATTTCGTATCCATGTCGAGACTTCGTCAGCTCTGCTACTTCACTCCCTGTTTTAAAACAAGGAGTCGGTTTGGACCAGTCCTGTAGCCATATTTTACATTTCTCAGGGGAGAAGCACATGCCATACATTCTAAGATTTCTGCTCATTGAGTTCGGAAGACTGAATTTGGTTGGGGAGAGGAAGGCAGTTCATCACTCCAAAATAAGTGTGGACATCTGTTACACTCCACAAAAGGGAACTCTAGCATGAGCCTATTGCTAAACCAATATGCTGACGGAAATGGATATGGATTCCATATACTGTAAGGTGGCTGTTGAATTACATCACGTGATAGGTCGTAGCACAGAACCCAAATGAAAAACGAGGTGTTGGGCGTCTGAATTTGACATAGAGCAAACTGTGTGCAAGGAAAATGAAAGCTAGCTAAAAACGACTGCATAGAAAAAAGTCAAATGAATATGCGCTACTAATTCCTTCTGTTTTATTAGGAAGAATAAAAATATTACTATAATATTATATAATTAAGACTATAAATAACATTCGGTAAAGTTTACCAAAAAAGGGGTTAGGATTAGACCAATGCTAGTGTAATTGGAACAGGGACTACCCACTTGGTACAAGGTAAAAGGTAATGGTTAATGGTGTGCTGCTAGGGTGCAAGCCACTTGAGCGGGGCATTACAAGGTTCTCTTTTGGGCACCGTAGCATTCCCATTTTACGCAAACGAACTTCCAAAAGTCCCCACCTAATCTCTATCATTATTGGTAGGCAATATTAAGATTTGGAAAACCGTAAGTAGTAGTGATGACGGGTAAGTCTTACGAGGTGACCCAGATAAACTGACTGGATGGTCTAACCTCCGGAGTTCTAAAATTGATTCCAGAAAAAAAGTGGTAATGCATCTAGGTCAGAGTTCTTAAAAGTCGTACTCACTGGGGGATGCGGAACTGTCTGATGTTAAGGATAAGACGATTTAGGAATTATTGTCAGTCATCATTTGAAAACGACTGTATATTGTGATACAGTATAAGCTAGGACTTATCGATTGCTATGGGCACTTTGAAGGGTTTTTAAACGCTTAGATGAGTCTGGTTAGAGTACTCTACGCAACATATCAGGCTTCACCTAGGATATTGCATACAAGCGGTTAGTCTGTGTTTCAAGAAGGAGGCTTGAGTCTTGGAAAGAACACGAAGGGAAGGCAGATGGATGAATTGTTTGAACCTCTTCTCATTATCATACCGAAAGAGGAGAGGTGACTTAATTTTGGCATACACCAAGAAGCCACTTGCGTGTTGATATTTCCAATCTTTTCTCTCCTCCTAGATAACTTTACGAGGTCATAACATAAAGGTGCTAAGATGGCGGTCAAAAATACACGTGCGGAATTTAGACAGAGTGGTCATCGACTGAAACTCTTTAACCCTATCAAGTAGTATCAACATCATCGTAATATTTTCAGGGAAATATAAGGTCTTTACAGAGATAAATACTTGAAGGACTGACACAGTTCGGAACAGCGTAGTGTCTATTATAAGAAGGATGATATAATCAGGAACTGAATCTATAATTATCGATTCATTGACACACTGTATATTGACTTTTGTAATAGTACTTCTCAAGACTGTCACCTAGGGAACCCTCATTTTCACTATTTTGATGTCTGCTTAGATATTCATACTATGTAAACTTTCCCCATAAAAGAATTAGCGACGATTTCGGGTTTTACTGGAGGAAATTTGTGGGCAAATTAATGCAGAAATTTAGGGTGAATACATTTTCCCCTGACCCCCCCAAGCTTACAACAATTCTAAACTTATTCTAACCTATGCGTTGATAATGCCTTTTTATGGTAAATGAAAATTTTTTCTACCCACTATGTTCCTAAATAACGCTGGTCGTGCTTAAAAAGAGAGCTGGGTGCTGAATTAGGTCTTTTCGTTCTGAAGTAATGCTAGTGAGTGCTTAATATGTCCTGTAATGGCTGGAACAACGCTGATAAGGAAACCCAGTATGTTCTGATCTACTCCTGAAAATGCCTAGAAAAAGAACACGGTGCTGAATTAGTTCTAGTCATGCTGAAAACCAGCACTGAGTTCTAGTCTGTGCCATTAAACAAACCATTTCAGAACAGATTCAGAATTTACTCACTATAGGATGCAAGAATTATTTCAGAATTACTGAGATTTAATTCAGTATTATTGTAAGCTTGGGCCCCCCCAGGCTTCCCTAAACTCATCCCCGAATTTCCCCTCAGAGGGTCATTAAACTCGTGAATCTAACCGAAGACTTTCTCTTATTACCAAAAAAAGCAAAATCGTCCCAGTTTCTCTTGTTTGGGCCTGACTGACCCTGCATTCATCAATGTTTACACACATTCATCGACATGATTAACGGCCAATATTTACCATATGGATGGTAGAGGGCAGCTGAAGTGTGAAGACGAATAAGAATAGATATCAACAAAGAGATATGACACTGTATGTTCGAACATTCAGTATATATATACATAGCTTCTGAGGTTGAGGAGTCGAGAATAAAAAGTGAATGCCACTGTGTAGTGGGGAAAGTATTCTATCAAACTTATTTACACATTTCTTTAGAAAAGTAAATCTTACTATAATGAACAATTCCGAAAACGTGGTTCAATCTACGTCTCCGCGTGATATATGCAAACAGTTACAAAAATACCGCGCAACCTAGAAGTGCTGGAGTACCCCTGAGCATAGTTTAAAACAAATGACTTGGAAAGTACTATTAATTATTAAAGTGTCATTAAATGTGACAGTGAACAGGAAGGCCAACAAGTGAACCAAAAAGCAATATAAAAATACAGCACGTTTTAGTCTACCAACGTCAAGTTATTTCAAATATTTGTTATGATTCTGCCTGCGTGTACAACTTTCATCACCAATTCGAGTTTTCCTAAATTCATAAATCACATGTTTCCATGACACTCAAGTGCAATACCCACTTCGTAGCATCACTAATTTATCAATCTATACCAGTACATAACGCTGTATAATGAGATGTTGAGTTTCGAGTTCTTTTGAGTTTAGTCATATATTTTTCTCATCACCTTACAGACACATCTGTTTCACCACATTCTCTTTTCCCATTCCATATGAGATGACAAATTGTTCGCTCTGAAGATGCTGGCGTTGCCATGCTACCAAAATGCCAGTGAACTTCTTCTGATTGAAAATGTTTCTTCCGTGTCCTATTAACTCAAACTACATCTGAAGTTGCATTTAGACACATTGGTTTTAACGAAATCACACCAGCCCGACTAATCGCCGCTTTCTACCGATTGCGAACATAAGACTAGTCCTCACATGATATCAACCATCTGAAAGAGGTAGGATCTTTATCTCAATTTTGTTGGCTGCAACATTTCCCCAACATATGAAGACTGGAAATATATGTAATGGATTTTAGAGAGCTGGGTCACGAAACAAATATTAGAATAAAAATATTGTAACGGTATATTATAAACAATACAGTTAGTGAGTTATGGAAATCAATGGTTAATTGGTTATACCGTTAAAGTCCGCTGCTACAAATTATTAATATAATCCACAGAAGCGTCCAATGCTAGAGTCGTGTCTTCTAGTAGGAGCTGTGCACTGGTTGTGGAATAGTCTTCGGATGAGGATTACAGATTCTTGCAATATCCAAAGAATACAACAAGGTTTGTAGTGAGGCAGGTAGACAGTGTGGATGAATTAGAAGGCGAAGTGTCGAGCAGCACATTGTATCTTAGATTGTACTCCGAAGTTAAGTATATTTTACAATGAATCGATTTTAAACAAAAGTTATGTGCAATATTTCCGTTTTGAACATCCAACAAAAACTGTACAATCTCACTGCTCTAGACTCCACATATATTCGCCGAGTGCCCGTAAAGCAGCTAATGACTTTGAAGGTGGTTTCATCCCATTTCTTCTACTGTTTTGTTCTGCTTTCATTAGACTTCGCTGGGATTAATTGTGATTCATGGATTCTGGTGTTTGGATAATTTACACTGTCGACGAATTTAGTGAATTTTCGAGACCTTCCTCCCGTCTATTTTGTTAAACCCGGATGTATGAAGTCAAAAGTGACTATGTGGGCTTTTTGGAAATAAAGCAGTGGCTGAAGGACACTCAGCTGATGTCTTCTGGCAATCCCAGTTATATTTGCTTTGCCAAAAATGAGTTTTTGAACTGTAAAGCTAAAATCTGGACAACTTTTGACATGGAATAGGGCGATTTCTGCTATAGACAAGAATTTATAAGTTAGGTATTGTGTTTACCGCAAGAGTCTTGAATAGCGACACAACGTATAAAGTAATGTAAATACGAAGTGGGGGTCGCTGTGAAACCATTTTGCTATTCAAAGTATGACTACAGACTGACTTCAGTTAGCGAACCACTGAAAAGCCAGGAAAACTGGACATATTGAGACCAAACTTGAAGTCATTGGAAACCCTGCAAACCTTGACTTGAAAATGTTACTATTCCTTATTTCTCTTAACAGAGCATAGGGCTTCAGTGGCAGATCACTATTTCAATCTATCTCCAGGAGAGCTTTGAGCTGGATTCGCCATTGCCCACAAGCTGTCACTGCCTCCGCATATGATCTCCGTTTCACTCTCGGTAGTCCAAATTATTACTTTCCAATAGGGTCCCAGCCGTGGGCTTGCGTGGTGCGTGGTTTCAGTCGGTGGTTACCTAAGAGTATTATTAACATCTCATTCACATAAACTAAGCATTTATATGATTGAAGTACAGTTTGCACAGGCATGATCATATTTGACATGTACAATTTTAGCTTGAGCACTGTTTTGTGACATATATAGTGAACGGTTCTGGAAGCTACATGACAGTTTTAATCTGAATAGCAGTCGCTACCCTACTATCTCTTAGTCTGCTGGGCACCGGCAAGATACTGCTTCTCTTAGAAAATTTTTATTTCTGTGTCAGTCTGTTTATGCATTCACTAGTTAAATTAACGAAATTCATGGTATGAACGACTACTTTCATCCAGCCACTTGATGTAACCCTAACAGTACAGGAAAGCAAAAGAGGCAGAATACGAGTAACTTTTGTAGTGTAAGTTGTGATGCGGGGTTTCTCTTTTAGCTGTCATTGTATACGGTCTAGCAAAATAGTGAGTTCTTCTGGCGAATACCACTGTGCTCTACCACTGTAGTGTCCTCTATTCGATCAGCATAAAAGACTGCCCTGATAGAAAGTTGCATTCAATTCTACCAATTAATACCGACAGGCATTTTAGACGAGACCGCCAGCAAGTATTAAAACCAAATGAAGAAAGTAGCGGACAACCACGATCAGGTTATTACTCCTCCTTAAAGTTAATAATAATATATTTATTCCTATCTGTGTAGGGCACACCAACTTTACAGGCATGGGTAAGTATTATTCAAATGAGATAAGTTTGGAAAGTGAAAAATTCGATGTATCCAAGAGAGAGAAATGTACCACAAGCGAACTAAAATTGGATGAGTCTCATCGTTTAGTTATGTGCGATAGGCGTGGAGATGTTCTGGGAATCTCACGTTTCATCCAGAACGCGTTTTCTTTGGGATCTCGATAGGACGTTCGGTGGCCTTCTCTGTGCTAGTGACTCTTCGAAGACTAACGGAAATTCATCTACTTGTGTATTATTGGGAATGATTAGTTCTAGGATCGTGAGATAGCCTTCTAAGTAGGCCGGCTTCAGACGACCCATGCTAGCAGAATCTTCGTGGCCTTTTTTCTAGGAAGTACGTTTAATGCCCTTATGTGATCCGTCCTATGGGGGTTCCAGAGGGCGACGTACATAGTCACGAAGAATCAAACTCATTTGGAAGTCGTAGTGTTGAACCGGCAGCAGTACAATCAGCATCGCTTTTCAATGCAATTCGTATGCCTAGGAGGACTAATGGTAGTGATTCAGTCCAATGTACACAGTTTGCAGCTGATAACACAGCCTCCAACTGTCGGTGTAAACGTTCTACCATACCATTAGCATGAGGATGGTAGGCTGTTGTTCTGAAGCAGATACAACCTAGGATTTTAGTCAAGGCAAAGAATAAGCCGCTTTCGAATTGCCGTCCACAATCAGCTGCTATGGGAGATGGGCATCCGAAGTTTACGATCCACCGTTCGACAGAGATGCGTGTGACTGTTTCAGCAGATACATCTTTGGTGGGCATTGCTTCAGGCCGTCGTGTGAAACAGTCGATGGAGGTTAAGATATAGGTTTATCCATGAGATTCTGGAGGGGGTCCAACCAAATCTATATGAACGTGTTTGAAACGAGCATCAGGGATAAGAAAGATGCCAAGAGGGTTTCTGGTGTGTCTCACCACCTTGCACTTTTGGCAAGCTAAGCACGTCTGTGCTCATTCCCTTACTCCCTTATTAATACCAGGCCAACAAAGCCGACTAGTTACGAGCTTGACGGTAGTTCGAATACCTGGTTGGGATAAGCCATGCAACGTATTCAAGACGTTGCGGAGATAGCTCTTAGGCACGATGGGACGAGGAGTGCTCATAGAAATGTCACATAGAATAGTATCTCTTCCTACACCTAAGAGTTTCTCGACTAATTTCAGAGTTGTTTTCGACAACTCATGTTGAAGCTCAGCATCTTCTTCTTGAAGACGAGTCAGTTTCTCAAGGTCTATGTCATCTATTTGAGTGAGGGAACAAATTCGCGAGAAAGCATCTGCCACAGTGTTGTCAGGACCACGAAATACTTCGTCATTGAGGCTTTGGAATGTTTGTGCAGCGTTACAGAGGCCGAATGGCATACGTAGAAATTCAAACAGTTCGAAAGTCGTAATGATAGCCATTTTCGGAGTATCTTCTGTTGCCATCGGTATTTGGTCATACGCCTTAACTAAATCTATTTTCGACAATATGGTTGCACCAGATAATGTTGCGTCAAGTCGTGTATGTGAAGCGATGTATAGCGATCAGGATTTTTTTTTGGCGTTCACTCGCCGGTAATCACCAGTGGGTCGCCAATCGTTGATATCTCTTTTCGGTACCATATAAAGTGAGGATGCTCTTGGACTACTCGATGGCCGAACGATGGCAACGGTCAGCGTATGATCGAGCCCATAGTTTGTCAGGAGCAAGTCGTTGTGCCTTAGATGTCACGGGTTGTGATGTGATGCATAAAATTGATGGTTTCGCGCAGTGGATCATTGGACGGGAAATTAGGTTCTGTGTACTTGTCAACAGTCGGCTGGAAAGTTGGATCGAAGATTACCTTCTTCTTAACGAGTGTCAAGCTATGGCCCACGTAGGTGACGTCTTTGATAGGTAGCTTTGTGGTACATCTATCAGTCGTTTTCGTTGGACGTTTACTAGTAGATTGTGATGGTTAAATAAGTTCGTGCCAATGAGGGGCATTGTGACGTCAGCAAGAAGGAAAATCCACTAGATAGGTAGGCGTAAACCTACGTTCAGACATATGTATTTCCTACCAAAGGTTGCAATTGGTTTTCCATTTGCAGCCTGTAGGTTGAAGGTAGGTTCCTTCTGCTGATCTGCTGCTGTAGCGGGAGGGAAGGTGAATTCAGCGCCTATCTCGTCTAAGTATTGGTTGTGGTTGATTACATCACGGATGTAAAGTGGGCGAACACTGGCACCGGCAGTGGTTGCTGCTAACGTGTGCTGGCGGGATGGTTTCCCATAAT